GTGTGTGTGTGTGTGTGTGTGTGTGTGTGTGTGTGTGTGTGTGTGTGCGCCTGTGTTTGAGAAACAAATAGAGGTTTTGCCTTTCTGGGGTAGCTTTTTTGCTCCAATGGCGTCTGCCAAAGTCACCTTACCAACATACCGGCCAATCATCTCCATGGCGCGGCATGGTGTGGCGTGTCACACGGGGCGGTCTGGTCTGGTGGCTGTAGACGGAGGAGTGACGCTTAACACCAGTTTCCATCCTCAGACTCTCCGTCCGTCTGCAGGATTCAACAAGGAGCTCTGTCTCTCAGAGCGCCCACGATGACTTAATCCCAGCAGGAATGCCCTTCTGGTTTCTCTTACAGTTCTCATAAACACCTGACCGTTCAACCAATAAACAGCCGGCCTCCATTGTTCTGCAGCGAAAAGGTCAGAATCGGACGGCCGCGAAGAAAAAATATCCCGATGGAAATCCAGCATGAAGCAAAGCAAACAGAAGCCCGCATCTGCCGGCCAGTTCACACCGCGGCAAAGCTCCTCTCTGGTTAGCTTAGTCGTTAGCCATAATAAATAACCCTCACATTGACTCTGAAGAGGGGGATTAGCGTTAGCAGGGGCGCGAAATAGACTCCATATTGCTTCGACACATGAGACGGTGCATTACTCCACAGTCTCTTGGCATGACTGATCAGCAGTGAAGCCTGTGCAAATAACCAGTTCATATGTTTATTTGGTCATCATATCAGCAAGCACCTCAAAGTCCCCAAAAATCTAATTTTGGCAATAAAAGACGAAACCCAAAGTTTAATTTATAGCTATTTAGCAGTGTTTTGATCCAAGTCTGTGTAGTAAATCAGACCAGTAATATTTTTTGCGCGCGTTTCCACCGGTGCTGCTACTGACCAGCTCCAGTTGTAGGCTAATCCCCCCCGGTTTATTTGGGGAAGTCCCATCCATCTCTCCACCCTGAGAGCTCTGTGGTTCACGCTTGGCAGTATAGAATAATATACTGTTATTTTAGGAGAGGAGACCAGTTAGCATTGGGGAAGTAAGAATAGCACTGCCAAAGTCAATGCTGCCCCGCGAATACTCATACACATACAGCCGCTGAGCCGCTACATGCCTTAGCTTCAACTTTCTGCTTTCGTTGAGACGGAGCCCAAAAGGTCAGATCGCATGATAGATTTGCAAGAGGATATGTTTTCCATTTATCGGAGAGGTTATTTTCTAAGGAAATCTTCAAATAGGATCGACTCGGTCAGGGGGGGGACGGAATGATCTCGTAAGAAGGAACTCGGCACGGAGCGAACGCTTCTTTGTTTTTCGGTCTTTCGTTCTCGCCGGGTGTTGATGAGAAAAGGCTGAGTGAGAGCAGTCTAAACATCAGCTGAACTGTGGCGAGGTGAAGAGCGGAGTCTTGACACCTCGAAGCGGAGCCGACGACGGAGTTCTCTCCTCCATACTTCCCACCGCTTTGTGTCACGTGGCCAAAAAAAAGGTGCTTCCCTCCGCCTCCGCCTGTCTTGGTTTCAGACCCATCATGTGGTCGTTTAGGTTTCTACCTTTTACTCATCCCCATCGACGCCTTCAAATCGGTGTTTGTTGTCCCAGATCACCATGGTATCCAAGACTCCTGTTGACTGAGTGCTCGCTTTGAGCGGCACTAATTACACCGAGTTCAGGGCTCCCCGTCGCCTCTCTCAACCTTTGCCAGTACCTCTTATAGGACAATAGAAACCCCAAAATATCACTCTACCGACCTGTGATTTAGTCACACTACAGGATGCTGCCAGACGCAATTACGTCTTTGTTTTTCGATACTACTCATTCGCTCTCGGTTCCGTGATGTGGAGGTGGTGCTGTCAGTATTTCGAGCTCAAGAAAAACATGTATCATCGACTCCCCTCTCTTTCTCCACACTCTGCCTTTCTTTCCCCACACCTTAGCACACCGTGTGCCATCCATCCGTTTCTTTGTTGCATCACAACGCAATTTAAAAAAACGCAAGCGTCTTTGTCTTCACAACCCCTCCAGCCCCATTCCAACCCTCCTCGCATTGCATTTCTTTCTCTCGGCACCCTCCCTGTCGGTTGAGTCAGCTCAGAACGAGGGCAGCGGTCTGTCAGGTGTGAATAGACGCTGTGTTGGCGGAGCTGAGCGCATGACCTCTCTTGGATGCAACGCAAATATTCTCCCTTCGTCGAGGCTCCAGAGATCAGTCGGAAAGGGAATTGTGCAATAACAGCGATGTCAGACACTGACAGGTCTTTGGCCCGGGTGGAATTTGGCCAATCCCCGATGAAGGGAAGATTCCTCCTGCAGAATCACTCTTGAAAGTCAGGTATTTGGTTCATAACACGGTATAGATAAAGGAGATGCGTATGAGATGAGGACACACTCATTTAGATGTATGCAGAGCTACAGGGTCGACCTAAAACCTGAAATGTGTGCGGGTGGAGATGGACATTAGGGTTGCATTTTCCACTTCTACCACAAATGCTTTTCACTGCCCTGGGCCATTGGCCAAAGACAGAGGGGGATTATGGGATTTGCAGTTCTGGTTGAATTCCAAAACAGGTGTCTAAACCTTGTGTTGAGGTAACCTCAGTGTTCTCTGTTGCTATTTTGTTCTTTTTCTCTACCAGCTTCAGAACGTGGCCAGTTCAGACAAGCTCACGACAGAAATGACTCAACCGCAAAGTAACTGGAAAATACCTGGAACGAGTCTTTGTGTTTGACTTTTTTTTAAGAAAAGTAGGCGATCCACCGTCCTATTTTGGGAACGTGGCTCATTAAAGCAGTCTGGCTTACCGAGTCATTCCACATCTTTATTAAGAAAAGGGAGAACTTGGTAACATCCTGCAAATCACCTTGGAGCCGATTTATGTGGTAATGAAAAACATACGCCATAGGTCTAAAACTGGAACAGGAGACTTGGCTTAGGAAGGAAGTAGATCTTCTACCCGTGCAAATATAACATCAAAGATCAACGTGATAAATGTTTGACGTGATTCAAGACTTGAATAAACTCCATCTTTTCAGGTTTTCCAGAGCTTATGTGCCGTTCGGCTGAGCCATGACCACACATTATGTCTGCAAAATAAATGTTACAGAAGAGTGATCTGAATGAATCACGCCGCGGTTGAATCTCAATTAGTGAACGCACATAAATACGCTCACAGACGGTAATATAGATGTGTGTGTGTGTGTGCGTGTGCGTGTGTGTGTGTGAGTCAGACGTCTGGAGGTCTTGAGTGCATACAGTGAGGGCTGGGCCGTCACACAGTTTGAAGACAGACTTCATAAGTCACCTTGCTGTAGCAGCATGGTTCTAACAACAGAATCTGTTGAGTAACCAAGGCCAGTCGGGCCAAAGCCCGCGTAAACCCCCAGTCCCCTCCCCGGCTCCCCCCTACACTCGAGCCCCCCAGCTGACGGCTCCTGTCCCCATCCTGTCCGGGCCCACATGGCCTGGCTTTGGATGGGAGACATCTCCGCACTTACCCTCCTCCTCCTCCTTTTTTTCTCCCCACATTTCAGCCCAGCTGTGCCAACGAACCCCGTGTGTTACGTTTTTCCTGTCGCTTCTCTGGCCAAAAAATGAAAAGGAGTGATGGGAAAAAAAAGAGAGAGAGAGAAAAGAAACGGTTGAGTGAGAATGAGAGAGAGAGAGAGAAAGAGATTGAGTGTCCATTTCTGGCATGGGTTTTGCTGTCTGCTCACTTTTCACGGCCCGCGGTTTTATTAGACTTTCCGCCGGGCCACGGGCAAGGTTAAACGGCCACCGATGCCCCGTTTGGGCTCGAAAACCTCCTGTTAGCTCCCCCTCCGGCTCCCCTCGCCTGGCTGTCCTGCGGTGCCGCTGCCAGTAAAGGAAACACATTAACACCCGGGGCCAGTAACAGAGAAGGCTTTGTCCACAGCCAGGCAGGGCCGGTCCATTAGGCCCACGCTCTGGTCCACACCGCACCAATTAGAGCGGGCAGGGAGCAGAGCCACTCCAAACATAGGTGTGAGCTTTACAAGGAGACTACAGGTGTGCTCGGGGGGGGAAATAATGGACTTTATTACTCATTGGGTGTACTGTGCTACACTGTATCCTTCTGCCACCTTTTTAAGAGCAAATGCGGCCCCGCAGAGTTTTGACAACCTGTGTTTAACCTGCAAACCTGAGTTTTCCGTTGGACGTTGGTTGAAATCGAAACCCCTGCATTCCAATTCACGATTGTTACGAATCGTGGCTCATGTTACCTTTCCTTGCCCCACTGGGTCCTAATATACGATATACTATAGAGAGACATGCAACTAATGAAATCGTAATTATTCTTTTAATCGCTTGGATTATTTTTTGATTCATTTTTGGATCAAAAAAATGAATACAACAATGGGGGGGGGGGATTGTCCATTGCAAGTTTCCAGAGCCCAAGCTGCCATTATAGAATTACATGCTCGTCAGTCCAATAATCAAAAAAACCCAAATATTTAATTTACAATGAAATAAAATCAAGAAATAATGTAAAGCAAAGCAGAAAGTGGATGTCAAGATGCAGCCTGCAGGGAAACCCATGTTAGACTGTTTTGCTTGATAAAAGAATTCATTTAACTTTTAAAAAGCATTCCAGAAATTCAAAATTGCATTTCGATCAAGTTCAAGACTCACAAGAGACTGGTTTAAAAAAAAACAACAAAAAAAAGTCAAAGTCAACAATGCTTTCACTCCCTAACAATGGTGAACATCCAAAAACAATCTACACCTCCCATAATGCAGCTCCATAGCATTTGTACATTAGATCCTCAACCCATTTCTTTAAAGCTTCACAGATTGTAACACAGGCACTCTGTTAAAATGCCCACCATAAGATAAACCTGTGGGATAAACAAAGTT